CTGAAAATGAGAATTTACTTTTACTCTAAAATACAGAAAACTTTTGATTTCGCACATTGATGGAGCAAATCAATGCAGATTAGCTGGGTAATGTGCACGTTAACGGCTTTCGAGCTTTAGCGGTAACATATGTGTATTAAGGGTTCAAATAAGAATAGAGAGGAGTTCCTTGCAAGACGCGAAGGAATAAAGAAGTATTCTACAAGCCCTTAAGTACTAATGTAAGTTCTTTACACGCTCCCGCTTACACTTAACGGTGTACGATTATAAGTGACATTGTTAACTTATGTTAAAAAAGAGGATATAAAACATTGTATCTAATGTATAAATGAAGTAGAAAAATAAATAATAAGTAAAACAGAGACACGTCAAAATACGTCTTATCAGAAGTTGCGAAGACTGATGATTGAGAAGAGAAGGGTGAGTAGAGGTTAAATTAATCAAAAGAACAGTCTCTTGATTGTTTTTTATACATACATACATACATCACTCCTCAGCCAGTGTTTATATAACAATGTTGTCGTTTCTATCCTATTACAGTAGAAATTATGTAGGTAACCAGTGAACGAAAGAAGTAAAGATATTAATCTACATTACTAATTAGTATCATATAATAGTGAAGTATAATTGTGCGATAACACACAAACTTATCTATTTAACACACGCAAACTAATCTAGGTTCTAGAATCTCTTAAATGAAACATTTCACTCTAATAATTTCATATTACTAATTCGAGAAAACTAATGTCTCTCCCGAATATCTCATTGGTCTCCAACAAGTTGAATACGGCCGACACGCATATTTATAATAAATCAGAGACTATAGTTACTCTCAACTACACCGTCTCTTCATTTTCTTTCTTTTTTTTTCTCTCTCCTTTTCTAAGGAAAGATTTATGAACGTCTCGCGTGTTTAAGTTCGTACCGTTATAACTACAAACAAACCTAAAAAAGAAAAAGAAAATTGCTATTGTTTTTTCTCAACAAACTAACACCCCTACGCTTTGCACCCACTGAAAATCATGACTCTTAGGAAGTGATATGGTGATACAGAACAAATAATGGAATGCAAATGGGAGAGAAGAGGACTTTGCTGAAATAGGAAAGAATTTTCAATGCAAAATTGAACATGCTTTTATTTTTATTTATTTATTATCTTCTCTCGTTGAATTAACCCTTTCGCTATTACGGGCGACTATAGTCGCTCCCGCTAAAGATGTCGCGTAATTGTATATATATGATAAGCGCGTGCGATAGCTATGCACAGAGTATCTCACTCTGGACATGCCGCGCGAGTCTTTCGTTTTGCATTATTTGTTATTTACTCTGTTTTGAATCAAGTTTTTTCGTCGAAAGCACCCGCCAAGAACGTAGGTTACAATAAGAAAATATTTGTTACTGTTACCGTGAAAAACTATCCTATACTTCGATAGGAAATTCTTTTTCTTGCATTTATTCTATTATTTATTTATTAAATAATATATCTTGTCTCGAGAGTTATTAAATAAACATCGTTGGAGAGACCGCTGTTTGTCGTCACGACAAGAACAATCAGAAGAATTCTTATTTATTCCGAATGTATGTACTACGTTGTAAGTTATTCGAACGGTCAATAAATTCTATTAGAAATGGAGGAAAAGAAAATAGAGAGAATAAAATAAATAACTAAGATATAGAACAGAGAAGGGAAGAGAAAGAGAGTGAGAGAGACAAAACTCATGGACGAAATTAAAACATGAATCTCATTAATCTTATCAACCTATGGTAAAATTAATTCGAATTAAATGAGACGAGATACATGCAATGAGAGATTGCAGATAGAAAAAAAAAATTAAATAAAATGTCGTCAACGAAATTAAAAAATAAATGAGATTTTTCTTATCGAACAGTGGCAAAATTCATTCTTATTAAGGAAAGGAAAATAATGAGAATGCAGTAAGAAGATATTCGTGAACGAAAATGAAAAAAATAAAATCGAATCAATTAGTTGTTTATCTCGTCGAAAAATAAAATTATTAATAAACGTGTCTTAAGGGAAATCGGATAGGTTTTCAACCTGATTTCCCTTAAGACACGTTTATTAATAAAACCGAATGTTAATCTTATCATCCACTAACAACATTTATTCAAAATGAAGAAGAAGATAAGAAATTCTTGCATTGTTTTCTCAGTAAGGGTCTGTTTTTTAGGATATCATTGGTTGTAAAGAAAAGAATAATGAAAGGGGGATAAAAAAAGAAGAACAAATGAAAAGAAAATTATAAAAAATTTGTTAAAAAATATAAAAAGATAAGGAAGAATAAAAGTTGATCCTGAGCTCTTTCCGGTGTCGTTTCTTATCGCGTGCTGACACAAAGGAACCAGAAAATTCAAAGGGGATGTAAAAATAGAAACGAAGAGAGAAATAAAGAGAAAAACAAAGAGAGAGAGAGGGAGATATGAATGGAAAGACAAAGCCGCGAGAGTGAGTGAGTAAGTAAATAAGTAAATAAGTAAGTAAGTAAGTAAGTAAGTAAATAAGTAAGTAAGTAAGTACTTAAGTCATAGCTGAAAAACTGGCAGTAAGGGAGCATCGGAAATTCTCGTTAAGTTGTCACGAATCGTTGCGTCGTCGTCTTTTGTACTTTAATGATTCATGCTACGAGCAAGAAGAGTTTTCCTTGAAAGAGTTCTCCATTTGATATTGTCGATCGAAAGACAAAGAAATTTTGTTATCTTCTCGTCTATCTCTCTTTCTCTCAATTTATCTTTATCTATCTTTATTCTTCTATCTATTTTTTTCTTATATTATAATAGAATTTCAACAGAAATAAAAGGAAAATTTCCATTTGCGATTTGACGATACATTGTTTGAAACTTCTTTTATAAATACGTATTCCTTTCAACTACGTAAATAATAATATTATATTAAAAAACAGATGAATATTTTATTGAATATTCACGAATGTGATATATTCATATATATAAATAAATGTTCTGTTTAAATATTATTTCGTGCCTTATCTTACGATAAGGGATGAATAAATCGTATACACTAGATGATGATAATGATGCTAATAATAATAATAAATGTGAATAAATTAAAAAACGATTAGTTTATTGAAATAAAAAAGAAGAATAAATTAGAACTAATAAAAGAAATGGGGACGGATTAACGAAATAACCTACGTGAGAATGCATAATGTGAATGAAGATAAAACGACGTCATAGATGGCACGGCGTTTATATTCTTTCTACAAACTTTATTTTCATCTAAATTATTTCTATTAGGTTTTGTCAAAAAAATAATGATAATCAAATTGAACAAAAAATAAACTGAAAGGTCAAATTCCTCGACTATGAAAACATACGCAAGATGTTCGTGATTGATGTAAAAAGATATAGGAGTTTCAAATAGAACGGTGATTCATTTTCTCAAAGAGAAGAAGATTTAACGAACGAATCTTTTCTCTAAATTAAATAGTATTTAACAAGAGCAGATGCGAATTCATTCTATACGACAGTCCTACGGACAAGTAGAACATTCAGCTTATTTACCAGACAGGAGAGTTATCGTCCAGGTATACTCGACCGTAACACGATCTTGGATTTGCATACATACATGTATGCGTGAGTGTATATATATATATATATATATATATATATATATCTATAAGTATGCATACATAGGTTGAACGTTCGAGAAGAGAATGATGAGGAAGAAGAGAAGCAGGATGTTACGTATTATCGGAAAGAAATAAAATGAAGAAGGAGAAGAAGAAGAAGATGAGGAGAAGATGGAAGAGTCCCTCTTTATCCGATAGAAAAATCGTTTCACGATCGGTGCTTTGGCATTCGATTACCCGCAAGAACTTTAATGATTAATAGCACCGCTTTTTTACGGACGAACGCTTTATATTTCATCTCTCGCTCTTTCTTTTAGACTAAGAATCGCATATCCGATCTAACGAAAAAACTCTTCCCATTCCGTAACATTGTAAAGATGAGATCACTACCAACCAACCAACCAACCAACCAACCGATCGAGTTTAGAAAGAATGCGACGAAAAATGTTCTTTCTTAAAGAAAAAAGAATCCCCCTAAGAGCTCGAAGATACCCTGAGCATAAAAGAAAGTCTCGAACTCCTTACACGATCATTTACCAGCATCAGAGATTCCAAAGTAGGAAGCTAAAGGAAGTAGGAAGAAAACAAAAAGAAAGAAGGAAAAAAGAAAAAATATAAAGGAATGCGATCGACCTTAGCGGAGAATTTCTTACCACCATGGCACACAATACCAAAAGTACAATAAACCACCAGCCCACACACTTACATAACGATCAGAACATTCAATGAAAACTACTTGTCGAATGAGAATCTACGTGTTAAACATTCTACAAAATGAACTTGCATTTTTATGAATGGGAACACGATTTTTCTTTTTTTATTCTAAACTAAAATACATCTATTAGTCGGTTGTGTAAGGTAACGTGACATTTTAAAAATAGTGAAATAGGTAAAAGTCATAGCGAGCAAATCATATCTCTAAGTGCATATAATAAAATGATACGTACATTTTATTTCTATAAAGCAAAAATAATTTAGTTCTAAAAAAAGAAATTAAACAGAGAACAAAATTAAAATAAAGGGGGAAAGAGGGTAACACATTTTATGACTGTTGAATAATAAATGGTAAAAAATGTATATAATTTTATCCATTGTCCTAACTTCTTGTAGATCGCATTTTTACATGAACTTAAATAAATAATTGGCTGTAAAAGAAAGAAAATTAGAGAAAAAGAAAAAAAGGAAAGAAATAAAATAGAAAGATTAGAATAGATGAGAAAAGAGCATTGAAATTAGAAAGAGAGAAGAAAGGAGAAGAGGAGGTTTCGGGCAAAGTATCAAGAAAAGTAGAATAAGAATAAGAAGAAGAAGAAGAAGAAGTGGAGAAGGATGAGGAGAAAGAAGAAGAATAAGAAGAGTAATAAGATGAAGAAGAAGAAGAAGAAGGGAGAGATTCGACGAGGAGACTAAGTAGTCAGCTAGAAATAGCTAATATGACATTCACTCTAAGACGGGCGGCCAGCCGGCCCGGACGAACGCGGTGCGTCTCGTAATATCATCTTATACACATAATTATCATTATCACAATCCTTACTTAACATCCAAAATTTAACATCGTTATCATGATCGTCATTACACTATCGTTAGGATCAAAAAAAAAGAAACACTTGAACACTTACCAACCAACCCAACGTTCATGGGATAAACACATTTGATTCAGTATCTTTATCTTTCTTCATCTTTCTTTATCTTTCATTCCCATTTTTTTCTCTCTTTCTAACCCTATAACTCTCGATCTATAAAGATACCATACAAGCAACATAAAAGGGAAGGAGAAATGGAGAGTAAAAAGAAAAAGTGGTGAATACGAAGGAAGAAAGGAAGGAACGAACGAACAAACGAATGGTGGAAAGAACGAAATATCGTGGTGCGAAAAAACGCGATCGATAAAATACTTTTCCATTTTTATCTCTCTCTCTCTCTCTCTCTCTTTCTCTCTCTCTCTCTCTCTCTCTTTCTCTCTCTCTCTCTCTCTCTCTCTCTCTCTCTCTCTCTCTCTGTTTCTTTTTCTTACTCGACTCTCAATGTCTATCTTCATTTCTCTTTCTCTTTTTCTTCCAACTTTCTATCCATTCTCATCTCTATTTTTCCATCGACTCTGCAACTATCATCCCGTGCTGTGTCGTGTATAAGAAACAAACGTAAGAAAAAAAAAGAAAAATAGGGAGAGAAAAAAAAAAGATTAAGGATTGGAGGATAAATAGAGGCGTATATATAAACGAAAAAGCTTTGTTTCAATAACTCTTGTGCTTTGTTCTCTATGGTAGAGAAAAGTGCGCGTATTAGATCGATCGTGTAATAGAAAATCTATCGAAAAAAGCAACCATAAGAAGAAGGAGAACAAGAATAAGAAGAACTGTATAAGTTATTGCATTATGAACAACGATAAACACGTGAAAATTCGTGAATACTGTCAGTGCAACTAAAGGGCCAAGGATTAAAGTGTGTTATTAAATCAAATACCCTTTAAAAACAATTATGGACAAAGTGTCATCGATTCTACAAAAAAAAAAAAAAGAGGACAATAAAAAGGATCGTCATATCTGTATTATAGTTCCGAATTGCGTGTCGAATATTGTTCGTCAAATTTCAATAGGGGATCAATATCATCGTCATCGTTATTGCATTTACAATCGTCGTCGTGGTCGTTTTGGTGTTCGGCTTGGTGCTCGTCTTTGTCGCCGGCAGGAATCTAATTTTAAATGTTAGATAATGCACGCCAGTGTGCGCTCGGTTACTAAAACGGTACACGCCGGTGGTGCACAAACGTTCGCACGCATGCGCGTTCAAAGCAGAGAAACTCGAGCGGGAGGATGACGATGCTACCTCTATCTCTATCTCATTCTTTTTCTTTTTCTTTTTCTCTTTCTTTTTCTTTTTTCTCACTCTAACACACATATATGTATAAATGTATACATAGATATATACTTTCTCTCTCTCTCTCTCTCTCTCCCTCTCTCCCTCTCTCCCTCTCTCCCTCTCTCCCTCTCTCCCTCTGTCCATCTAACTATCTTTCTTTTTCTCTTACACATGCTCACTCTATTTCCGTTTTCACACTCTTCAATTCGGTGCTCTCCTTTCTGTTTATCTATTCTTTGCACTATCTCTCTCCCACTCATATACACGCACGCGCGCGCACACTCTCACTCTCGCTCTCTCTTTTTCCTCACCCTAAATACTCTCTCTTCTCGACTTTCCCTCAATCTATCTATTTATCTCTTTCTCCTTCCATTTTCCCTCTTTCTCCCATTACTGCCTTCCGTTTTCGGTCCTCTTCCTTGTCCGTTTTTCATCTCTTTTTCTTTTTTTCTCTCTCTCTCTCTCTCTCTCTCTCTCTCTCTTTCTCTTTCTCTTTCTCTTATTATATATATACATATACATTCATACATGTATAATACATTTAAATATATATACATTTATATATAGTATCATATATACTATATAACTATATATATATAGTTACGTATACATAAATGTTTATATATATATATATATACTTGTAATATACATATATACGATACTGACTGGTTGTATCACCCTTCCTCACCCCAACAGAAATATTCTCCCACTATGCAACTATATCAGACGAAATAGCAACACCTTTCCCTGGCCTTTTTCCTATCTCAGGTTCCATGCTCAATTACTCGTCCTATTGTCATCTCCTATTATTTTTCTATCTCGTGTTACTATCCAGCGTTACTACGTGGTAACAAATACACTTTGCATGCTATCTCCCTTTTTTCTTGCTTTCTTTCTTTCTCATTATGGTTTGACTGGATTAGTTGAAGGTCTTTTTATTACAAGATTCACACCAAATAGTCACAAACTTCTCCTGTTTGTTTCTAAATATATAAAACCTTTCCGTATATTAAAAAAATCCTAATCACTTTGTCAAAATACTCGCGTTAATTTTATCTTTTAATTATGATACGAATAAGTCATAAATATTTATTAAAAACATTGTCGAAATATTGATTTTATTTTTTCAAATAATAAAGAACTAACATATATCATAAAGTGTGTCACAAAAAATCGATTGGAAAATTTTTGGATCAATTAATCGAGTTTGTTCTAACAACTAACAACTTTCTCAAGATATTCAAATAGAAAGATAGTAAGAAAATAATTTGGATCTCACACGTTTCCCAAAGTAATTCACGAATCGCGAGTCCGAAAGATTATAATGATTATAATCGAGACTCGAATGAACTATTTGAACTTCGTTGAAAGATGTGGTCGTCATGAGTCTTACTGCATCTTACAAAGCATCCTAGTCGAATTCGGCTACGAACAAAACTCAAGGGAATATGAACAAAGGATTTTAAAGGGGTTGGAGGATTGGTCTTAGGGTTGCGTCAGGGCCGAGACAAAATCCAAAAGGGAAATTCTAGTAGGATTTAATCTGTGGTTAGGAAAGAATTCTCTCCAAGTTCGTTTCCTACGAATATATCAATTCGACTTTGGTTAAGTTGCCTGAATCAACGTTGAGTAATTCCACTTGGAAGAAGACTAACCAACCGACCCGCATTTAGTTTGCGGTCGGCCGATGACAGCTCTCTCTCTCTCTCTCTCTCTCTCTCTCTCTCTCTCTCTCTCTCTCTCTAAAGCTCTCTCTCTCTCTCTCCATTTCTCCATCTCACTCGCTCACTCCTCTATCTTGACAAGAAAGAAAATGAGAAAAAGGAAGAGTTTCTTCCACATTGAGATAGTTCGTGATTTAAAATGCTCACTGAACTCTACGAGTCGTTTTATTTTCTATTTTTTGTCTTCCTTACAGTCGATGAGGCTGAACAACGACATCTCATCAACCCCCTGGTTCCACCACACCTTCTTTCACTTCTTCCTAGTACCCCTCTACTGTCATCTACTTCCCACCTACCACTACACCTCGTTCTTTCTTTCTTTCTGTTCGTTTTCTTTTTCTTCTTGTTCTTCTTCTTAGTCTTCTTTTCTCTTTCGTCTCGGACCTCTCACAGAATTACAGTAGAAACTATAAGAAAGTTCTGCGCCGTGCAACCCTGGTGCAACACTGATCGATCGGCCTCCCTTACGTAATATGATGAAACCGAACGGCGAATCGGTGGATAATTAATTTTAAACTCGACTCGAGACTTTAGGTAAGAACAAACAAGGATATTAAAGCGATAGAAAAAGGGAAGGGGAGGAAGGAAGCAAGGAAGGAAGGAAGAAAGCAAAGAAGGAAAGAAAGAAGGGATATATTTGTAATTTTATCTCATGGGATTGATAAAATAGAGTGAAAGATAAAGCGAAAAAATTATGTTTATTTTTCTTTTTCGCGTATTTCCCATATTTTTCATTTCAATGTTTTAATTTTATGTAATATATTACGGACTAAAAACTTTATTTCAAATATCTATCGATATCTTCCTTTTTTATTATTTGTTTTTTCTCTTTTTCATGTATTTTCTTGAAAAATATATATTCTGAAAATATGAATTCGTATAAGTTCATCGTATCAAAAACAAAATTGATAGATTTTATTTTAAAAACGGAATGAAAGAGAGAGAGAAAAATTTTTAGTTTTTAGAGAGAAAAAAGTACAACTGCAATATTTACACAAAATTTTCTATTAAAACTATGACGAAAATACGTTTTTTTTTTTTGATAAAAATGATATAACGAACGTTTACATTGGTCAAAGTTTTAATTGCTTTTTAAAAGTACATTTTAATATTATCAACACAATAGGGAAAGCTGCATGTGCGTATGTGTGAGTGTGCGTGTTTAAACTTTTAATCGACCATAACGAAACTCGAATGGAAATTAAACGTGAGAAAAAGAGATAACGAGAAGTATCATCATAGTTATTGAAAAAAAAAATGTTCGGATTTAATACATTGATATACCTTTCTTTTTTTCTTTTTATCTTTTTTTATTTATTGTTGATTATAAATCACAAGTCAAAAACACGAACACATACACTTTCCAATGACACGTACAAATCTTTTTCCACCCTCGACTCTTGAAGCCTAACCCCCTCCCCCATCCATCGTTCACTTGGCTTTTCCTATTCCAGGTCTACTATAATAGTCTTTACACATATCACCCCGAGTAGAATTTTTGTTCTCATTGATTTTCGAAATCACATAACACGATGACGCGACGCGACGCGACAACGAACGTGCATTAACGAAAATACTCAAATTGGTTTCCAGCTGTCGCAGCGCTGGATTTGCCGATTGGAAAGTGAGAATACTCGGGGCCCCCCTAGAGAGGGCCCCCGACCTGAAGAGGCCGCCGTAAGGCGGTCAAACCCTCTCAGGTAAATCCTTACAATTCTTTTATTAAATAATATTGCTTTCATACTTTATTTTGTTCACATTAACATTTGTTTAATTAATTCATTAATTTTCTATGTCCGAAAGCATTGATCGATGAACGATTTGTTCATCTAAAGCACTACGATGAATATTATATTTAAATATTATATTTAGATATTTTTTTTTTCTAAGATTCAAACATTTTTGGAAAAAAAAATAAATTATTCTGTAAATATTTTGAAAATTAATAGATCAAATTAATTAAACAATATTTAGTGTACATCTAATGTGTTTTCATACTCTAATTTTTATGTGATTAAAATATCAGTGATACCGTAAAAATACATTATCCTAGAAAAACAAAATTCATTTAAGGTTTGCGAGTATATATAATAGAAGGAGTGAAAAAACAATGAACTAATTATGATCATTTCACAAATTTACACCGTTAAAGCCAATTTTCATAGGAAGCGTATAATGAGACCCATGATAACGTACTTTAGGGGGTGTGGGGAGAATAATAGGTAATTTCATTGGTTAGAAAAATAAATGTGCTCGTTGTATTAACGGCCTATTACGTCTATCTTGCAGATATTAAAAAATAAAGAAGAAAAACAAGAGAAAAGAAGAATAGTAGGAAGAGAAAAAAAGAAAGAAACAATATATCGCGCGTATATAACGCTATGAAACTAGAGCGACCCTTTGTTCTTGGTAACTCTCGGTTGCTATTTTACGATATTATGATATCGCAGCAATATCGTGTTACTTGTTAAACTCTCTTGGATATTACAATAGGGAATATCCGCTGAAATTGCTTAAAACCTGTAATGTCTGACCGAAATCGTGATCTTATCGTTTCTCAGAACGTACCAAAACCAGTAACAATAATCTTCTCCGAATCCGCAGATATCGCAAATATATATTCGAATTTAATTGTCTATAATTTTTCTTCACGATTTTTACTTATTTAGAGATTTGACAAATTTTATTATTTAAATTACTTTTCCGTCTATTTCTTTTTCATATTAATAATTATAAAGATTTCATAGTAAACAGTAGAAATATTTTGTATACGTGTAACATATATTTCAATTCACATTTAGGATACAAATTAATTTGTGATAAGAAATACAAATTTATGAGTACGTGACTTTATAATTAAACTACGTTGTAGAGGATTGATGATGTTTTGACCATTTATTACGGAAATGGGTACAATTTTGATGTTTTATTTATAATTAATGCAAATTACGTGTTTTCTCAAATATTTTCAAAAATTAACCTTCACCGCTTTAATAACACGTGATCCATTTAATAATTATATTACATAAATATTTTAAATAATATAATAAAATTGTGACATCACTCTCCTTATTTATTCTTAGCCCTAATTCACAGTTTGTTGAATTTCCACAGATTATTTTGTTCCGAAATATTTGTAATCCAGAAAAGCAAAGGGGATGTTATCGTTGATAATAAACGTGTCATATTTCGGCAAATCACAATTAATGAGAGAAAACTATAAGAAAAAAAAGAAAATAGAAAGATAGGAAGAAAGATAGAACGGAAGGTGTATTCTTATTAAATAGGAAGAAAGAAAAAATCAGGATTAATTAATCTTCATCCTGCTTGATTGTCGCAAAATCCACAGGTTCTATTACTTAGAAAAGACACTTTCATTTTTTGATTATCCACGTTCTAGATCTTATCGAGAAAAATCTTACCTTCCATTCCTACTTAAAATTTACAATAGTGCCGTCGATGAAGAAGAACAAGATTATAATTAAATAAATAGTTGTATAATTATTAAGAGAATGTTTTTAAAATGATCAAAGTAAGAAAATTAATTTTTTAAAGAACGAAATTTAAAATTAGATTGAAAAAATATTTTACATATATAAGCATAAGCATAAGATAAAATAGTATTTATTATCTAAATAATTTTTACATAATGAATATCGATGATTCAAAATAATCTAACTTTGGTGTCCAACAATCTTGTCCATTTTAAGATGCGTTTTATTTCAAGAATAAAATTTATATTATAGATGAAAAAAAATCAAACGATAAAAATATTTGCGATAATACATTTTTTGTATCCGGAAAAAAAAGTAAATATTCCAGATTTCGTAGGAGTTGGTAATAAAAATCGTACATAAACTCGTATGTGCACATTAGTGGAAGAATAAACTTAAAGATACGATAACATCGATATCTCGAAGAGGAATTCGATTATATCGTTAAAGCAAATGCTACTTGATAAGAAAGATGCTTGTTCGAATCGAACGAAAATACCAGAGGAACTTAGCGTTCTTTTAAGTGTTCAACAAATTGCTTCGCCGTGCAAACCGCTTGAAATATTTGCCAGCTCTTTCAAAAAGATTTGTTCCGTTAACGCGACTTGTTTGCTTATCGTTAACTATATTTATTATTGATTGCAATCAATTGAAACCTATTTTTTCCTTATAAACAGACTGGTTGAGTTTGAAACAAAATTTGTTCTGTTTGTTTTTTTTCGAATGACTACAATTGGGTAAAAATGTTTTCTCTTTTTTCTCTTTGTCTTTCTTATTTTCCCTCTCGTCAAAATTAACCGAAATACATAAGAATCACTGGTCGATACATTAATGCCAAACTCACGTGAATGCAAGCAATATATTTCGTTATCGATAATTGAATCGCCGTGTGCGGTCGACTTTTGTCGTTCTTTTCCCTTGTGCACTTTATTCTATCACTATTTGTACTATTAACTTTCAAGAAAGAAGCGAAAATTATGAATTTTCCTAATATTAAAAAAAAAATAGATATTCTCAACAAAAGAAATAATAAATCATTAATTTATCTTACAAATTTTAATGTTTTAATTATTTAATCAATTTCAGAAAGATAATCCACTATTTCTTATCTTCAAATTCTTACTATTAACTTTTATTATAAATCTAATATCTCTCAATGATTTGAAAATTTTTTAAATATATTCTACTTATTTTTATCTTAAGATTCTTTTTGTAAATCTTTTTTTTATTTTAATATCTCCCTTTTTTTCTTTTTTATTCTTATAATAATTTTATTTGATTCATATCTTCGATCATTATAACAAATATCCTCGTTTAGTATGTCTTTTGTAGCAACTCTAATTGTAATATATTTTTGACCTAAGTGAATTCAACTACAAAAGTAGCTTATTTTAAAGCTTCCACATGCTATTTTCAGATCTCTTCTTTGTACCCTTTTACAATTTGCCTTACGGCAATGCACAGGTAGATTCTATTCAAGTGAACACATATTCCATACAAAATTCATTCTATTTAGATTTTTTTAAAAAGATTAAACAAAGAAAGAAAATACTACGTCGAAACGAATTTTGTTGTTTCGAGTATAATTTCTTCCCAAAAATTTAACCTACATAACTTACACGTGTATAAACCAACAAAAAATCAACAACCAACCCATTACATCCAAAAAAGTCCTTGAATGATTTCAACAAAAATTAATTATTCCTAATGAAGACTTTCAATGCTAATTTCATTCCATTCAAATTTTCGTACATAAAAAAGGCCATAATTACATACACACGTATGTACACGTATGTAATAAAATTCTACGTGAGATGAAAATGAAAAAAGATTTTTCATTGAATTCGCATAAATTTATTAACAAATTTACCCTTTTCTCTCTATCTCTTTTTTTCTCTTTCTCTCTCTCTCTCTCTCTCTCTCTTTTTTTGTCTCACGTATACTCATAGCGATTAACGAGTTTGAAACACCCGATATATTTCGTAATTCTATTGCGTCACGTATGAACGCGTAGTATATGTATATGTATGTGTGTATATATATATATATATATATATATATATATATATATATATATATATATATATGAGAACTACCAAGAATTCGTCTCGTAAATATTTTTCCAAAAAATGAAACAAAAAAGTTCCCAGGTAAAAATGGTTCGGAACGATCTACGCGTAGAATAAATACGTCGATTAGAATAACTCGCTAGATTCGTTGTGTTTCACGTTTTCAATAATTTTTCTCTTCGCAAAACAAAAGAAAAATATTTGCATGCATTCATAGAGAATGAAAGAAGATGAATGAGAAAGAGGAAGAACGAATTTCCGTATTTTACACCGCAACGCATAATTTCCTGTTTGCGAAACAAACAATAATAACACGATAGTCACCTATTTCTCTCTCTCTCTCTCTCTCTCTTCCTTTTTTCATTCCCCGATTTTTCTCTCTTCCACTCTTTCATTTCGTTATTTTTCTATTTTTTGTTTTGTTTTGCACCCTTTTCCTATCCATTTTTGGTAGCTCGTAACATATGCAGGTAGTGTCCAACGTAACAAGAGGGAAGCACGAGGTTGCACGCGTCGAGAGGGAATATTGCTAGTCTAGAGTAACTCCTGTTTTCATATCGCGTAATTTGCATGTCCTTTATCCTCCTATCCAACTTCAACCTCGGCTATGCTACTATATTCAAAAGACAAAACAAAAAAGTGGAAAAAAAGGGAGAGAAAAGATAAAAAAGAAAAAAGAAAAAAAGTTGGACGAGAAAATTGGTATCTAAACTTTGCTATTCAGGTATTTTCGTTTCTTACATCTATTTTATGATGACCCTACGTGTTTAAAATATTTTAAAATCTAATCAAAAATCTAAAAAAAACTGTTAACACTCAAAGAGAATAAATTTATGATACGTATGCGAGTTTAATTTTTCTGGTATTATAATTAATAATTAAATGAAATAATGTAGAATAATCTTTTCTTCTTACAGTTAACCTACACTAACAAATATATATGTCATTTGTTAGGGAACAAGCACGGAACGTGAGAAAATGAATAATTTTCTTTTGAAAGTAAAACGAAAGGAAAATTTGTCTCGCAGATTATCATTAAAACGGCTCGTTTAAAAATGAAAAGAAAAAAAGAGAGATACTGAAAGAGGAAAAATAAGGAGAAGTAATATATAAAAGAAGAATCGTGAGTTTTTTGAA